GGGGGGAGCGAGAGGCAGCGTAGCCGCTCCGCGGAGAAACCGAGGCATGGGGGGCGGGGGGCTCTTCACGCTTCGTTCTTAACGCTGCCCCGTGAGGCTGCAGGAGTGTCCCAGGCTCCGGGCAGAGCAATGAACTAGAGGTGCAACGTGCCCCCTCTGCTGCCAGGGCTGCGGGGGAGAGCGAGGGGGGCCGAGCCAGTGTTTCTTGTTGTGTATGTAGCGCGCTGGGTCCCAGGATAGAAGACAGGCGAGCTCCCGTGAGGCACCCTCTGTTACTGGACCAACTTCTGTGAGAGAAACATGCTTTTACATACAGTGACCTCGCCCTTTGTGTCTCAGGTGTGCTTAGTGGCGCAGAAATAAACCATGATTCGCCTACCCCACTGTCTGCAGCTGATGGTGGCCCCAGAAACTTCTGAAAACAATTGTGCAATAACCTAATCATAGGGGAAGTTCCTGAGCAGGACTGGCCCTAGCAATTTTGGGGCTCTTCATAGCCTAAGCACCTGCACACCCCATGATGGGAAGGGGAAGGCACTGCGCTCAGGGGCAGAAGCTGTAGAGGGCAGTCCCAGAGCTGCAGGAGCAAGGCAGGGATGCAGCAGGGGTCAGATCTGCTCCACTACTCATTGGACCTGGTGGGAAGCAGTGCACCCTAGCTGCCGGCATGCTCTACTTTCCTGGCTCCCAGTCACATTGCTTTGGGGAAGGGGCAGGCAGCGGTGGTGGAGCCTCCCCCGTCCCCGTCCCCATCCCATACCTATTCACAGCCCTCACTGCCCCAAATTGGGGTCACATTTCAGGTTGTCAACACTTCCAGATCAGCAGCCTAGGAGGTTGCAAAGCTCCTGAGCTGCAGTGGAGCCTACAGGGCCAGTGGCCTGGGCCCTGGGGACAGCAAGCTGCAGAGGACATAGGGATGGCAGGTGGTGAAGCAGGCGGGACTGGCAGATCTTGTTGAAGATCTTGTAGGTGTAAGTCTCTGTCTGAGGGGTTGGAGTCCCATGGGAAGGAGACTCTGGAAGAATTTCACCATGATTTCAACAGTTTCCACCCCACCATCAACCTCAGCATGGAGCAATCTACACGGGAGGTCCATTTCCTGGACACCACGGTACAAATAAGTGACGGTCACATCAATACCACCCTATACCGAAAACCTACCGACCGCTATACTTACCTGCATGCCTCCAGTTTCCATCCCGGACACACCACACGATCCATTGTTTACAGCCAAGCACTGAGGTACAACCGCATATGCTCCAACCCCTCAGACAGAGACCTACACCTACAAGATCTTCAACAAGCATTCTGTAAACTGCGATACCCACACGAGGAAGTGAGGAGACAGATTGACAGAGCCAGACGTGTACCCAGAAGCCTCCTGCTACGGGACAAGCCCAAGAAAGAAACCAACAGAACACCACTGGCCATCACCTATAGTCCCCAGCTAAAACCTCTCCAACGCATCATTAGTGATCTTCAACCCATCCTGGACAATGATCCCTCGCTTTCACAGGCCTTGGGAGGTAGGCCGGTCCTTGCCCACAGACAACCCACCAACCTGAAGCATATTCTCACCAGCAACTACACACCGCACCATAACTCGAACTCAGGAACCAATCCTTGCAACAAACCTCGGTGCCAACTCTGCCCACATATATACACCAGCAACACCATCACAGGACCTAACCAGACCAGCCATACTGTCACTGGTACATTCTCCTGCACATCCACCAACGTAATATATGCCATCATGTGCCAACAATGCCCCACTGCTATATACATCGGCCAAACAGGACAGTCCCTACGTAAAAGAATCAATGGACACAAATCTGATATTAGGAATGGCAACATACAAAAACCTGTAGGGGAACACTTCAATCTTCCTGGACACACAATTGCAGATCTAAAAGTAGCCATCCTGCAGCAAAAAAACTTCAGGACCAGACTTCAAAGAGAAACTGCTGAGCTACAGTTCATCTTTAAGTTTGACACAATCAACTCTGGATTAAACAAAGACTGTGAATGGCTTGCTAACTACAAAAGCAGCTTCTATTCTCTTGGAATTCACACCTCCAGATCAGCTGCTAGAAGTGGGCCTCATCCTCCTTGATTGGGATCCACCTTATCATCTCCAGCCTGATTCTGGCCTGCATATTTATACCTGCCTCTGGAAATTTCCACTACATGCATCTGACGAAGTGGGTCTTTGCCCACGAAAGCTTATGCTCCTACACTTCAGTTAGTCTATAAGGTGCCACAGGACTCCTTATCGCTTTTGCAGATTCAGACTAACACTGCTACCCCTCTGATAGGGAAGTTGGGTACACTTGAAGGATGCTACAGCACACGCCCCCTCACACACTCCTATTTCCCACGTCTATGGGCTTAGCACTTAACAGCAGCAGACGGCAGCACAGATGCTTAAAAAAAACAGGACAGCACTGTGTCAAATGTAAACTACTAATATAAACAACTAAGTGGCATTTTTCTCCTGCATAGTAAAGTTTCAAAGGCCGTGTCTAGACTACACCTCTCTGTTGACAGAGAGATGTAGATTAGGCACGTCGAAATTGCTAATAAAGTGGGGATTTAAATATCCCATGCTTCATTAGCATAAACATGGCCACTGCTTTTTTTCAAAACGGCGCTTTTTCGAAAACCCCCCTGGCAGTCTAGACACAGATCTGTTGAAAAATAAACTCTTTCAAAAGATCCTGTACACTTCATATTTTGAGGAATACAGGATCTTTCGAAAAAGGGTTTATTTTTCAACAGATCTACGTCTAGACTGGTGGCGGGGTGAGGGGATTTCGAAAAAGCTCCGTTTAAAAAAAAACTGTGGCCATGTTTATGCTAATGAAGCGCGGGATATTTAAAACCCCGCTTCATTAGCAATTTCAACGTGCCTAATCTATATCTCTCTGTCCACAGAAAAATGTAGTCTCGTACCCAAAGTTGTATTAGATCAATGTACAACTGTAAACTTTTGAAAGAACAGCCATAACATTTTCTTCAGAGTTAAGAACAACCTCCTTCTTAGATGTTAATAATTCTGAAGTTCTACTGTCCTATTAATTCTGGATATAGTCTTACAAATTATTAAGGATATGATTTGACAAAGCTGTATCAATTCACTCTACAGTATTTTGATCCATTCCCTAACCTAAAAAACCATGAAGAGTATATGATATGAATATCATATTACATGTCTGCTTTGATTAACAATTCGTTCAATGCTCCTTACAACAATGAAAGAATGGCAGGCAAAGAAAGTGGACTTGAGGAATAAGATTCAGTTTTGCTTTGGAAACTTACTTCCTCTGACACAAATCTTAATTTTAGGGTGTGGTCACTAAATCACATATCTCTTTTACTTAAACTTTTGCGAGGTGATTTGAAATGCATCTTTTGTTGCCAAACTGGCTCTGATATCTAGCCATCAATTCAGGGTGACAACAGATCTCATCTTCTCTCCACCCTAAGCCCTCTCACCCTCCTTTCTTGATCACAGGCCTATTCCCACCCTACCTATTATCTCTCTTTCTCTACCGAAATGTCCATTTTCACCTCTGACTGGCCATTGATACTAGACCCCAGCACCAGCTTGTTACATTTTCAAGCAGGTACACTTGTGATTTCCCCCATGCTGTCTTGAGAAGAGCTGCCCTTAAACATCTGCAAAGCTACCTCATCCCCTTTAAATTCCTCCTAAAAACTTAACTCTTATATGATGCCTACAAAAAATTTGATAATGGCAGCTGACGCACTGAGACCACAGCCTGGCATGCTGCCCTATATTGTCCCTTGCTTCCTTGTACCATGCCATCTGTCTGTCCATTTGTTGCCTCTTATCTTATTCATAGATTTAGAGTGACCAAGTACTAAGTGTGAAAAATTGGGACACTTTTCTTTTTGAAATAGAGGAGAGAGAGGAGATAGTTGCATATATAAGACAGATATTGGGATGGTCCCAGTGATATTCGGACATTTGGTCACTTACGCCGATTTTTACCTCTTTGAGTCAAAGACCATCTTTTCTGATCTGCATATGTGCTTGTACAGCACCTAATCCAATGGGGGCCTAGCCACTGCCCAGAGCTCCTAGCCATTACGGTAATATAAATAAATAATAATTTTCATGAGAATCCATGGGAGCAACTAAATACAAGATAAGCTCCTCAGTCTACAGTAGCAGACATTGAACAGACATCATTTTGATTCTTTTTATAGTGACAAGGCTTCCCAAGATAAAAGATCAAATACAACTATTTGTTTTAGGAACTAGATATCTTATTTCACCTGAATGGAGCAGTTGCTGCAAGCCTGCTTTCCTTTTTCAGTTTTAGCTCTTAAAAATTATTCTCCATTGTGTGATGGAAATATCTGTAGTCTGCAATGGATAACGGTCAATATAAATATGCTGGTGCCAAGTTATGAACACATATATGTCAAACTAGTGTCACTGCTTTCACTTGAGAGCTTACCAATTAAGTTAATTATAGAGGTCACAATGATGGAACCTAAGTTCACAAGAAAGCACAAACTTGCATAATTTACTATATTATATAATTTATAATAGAATAGTATATATTATAATGTATTATATAATAATATATTCAGTCTCTGAAGTAGCACCTCAAATTGCATTTAAAACAAACAATATTCCCACTGTTCAAGGTGAGTAATTGTATTACTGAACCACGTGTTGCCTTGCAAACCTATTCAGATATAAACCTGAGTCTACCATTGCGAGAAGAAAAATACATGTTTTCTAAAGCTAATCAAACAATCTACTCAGATTCCACGATAGCCTCCTAGCCCAAGACATTGCCA